CAACTTAGTCTATTTATTTCTACACCTTACCTGGCACTCGAGCGATGCCTAACGTCAATATTGTTCACCTTATTATACCATCACCTAACATGGGAAATAGAACGCAGATACTTATGGCCAAAGACAGCTAGCCAGGCTTTTCATGTTTTCCACTTTCAAGGACCAGGTTTCACAGCCATATGCGTCTGTCTAACAAAAGACGCGTACAGTGCTCAGCAGTCTGCTATGTCCTCCTTTACGCCTGTAACATAAAGTCATTGGAAGTGGGAGATACAAAGAGGCTAACTGTGTTTAACCGTAAGTGTTTCCTTTCCATCTCTCTTCCCAAGTGATATGATATAACATTTGTAAAAAAATTATATTTGTGAAATCTCAGCAAAATTGAAATCAGTAATTCCAACGTTTCCTGTGTTCGACAATCTGGTCCGAACTTCTTCAGGGAGATTAACATCGAAATTAACACAACAGGGGGACATCTCTTGTGTTTAAAAGAACTTTGTCCCCAATCATCTGAGTCATGAAACAGGTATCAACATGTATGGTAAACAAAATTGTATGAACTGTGATCAAAATTTGTCCTCGGACTTACAAATATTGGTCTACGTTTGTTAAACGCTCTAAACAGAGTGTATATGTGTGTGGGTAAACCGTTGTAAAACATTTCTTAACGTCTCCATAAGAAGATATGGACAGTCGAGAATTTTGACCAAGTATTAATAATTAGTGATACATTTCCATTTTTTATTTATTAATAAGGATTTCCTATGCATCAGCTAACACCACGCCTTCATGTCCGTTCAAACTGTTAGTATCTAGAATTTTATGATTAGACGTATTTTCAAAATTATGGTGTTTAGGATAAGAGTTTAGCAGAATCACCCTGTCGGACTTATTGCTTTGTCTTTTTTCTGAATATTGAGCTGCTTTATTCGACCGACTGGAGTTGTCAGGTGACTCAACAACTACGTATTTAGGATATGCATTCTGTTGCAGACAACGGAGAGTGAAAACACGATGATTGTGCCAATTACACAGTTTCTTTGGTAATTTAATTGGATTACAAAATTATTCATATGAACTGTCGTCAGAATTTGACAGAATAGTTTAGTCGAACGTAATCTCTAAAATTCTGATGAAAAGTACACTCTGTTTAAAGTGTTTAACAATAGTAGACCAATATTTGTAAGTCCGAAGTGAAATTTTGATCACAGCTCATACAATTTTATTTATCAGACATGTTGATACCTGTTTCTGTGACTCATGATTGGACAATGTTTTTATAAACATGAGATGTCCCCCTTTTCTGCATACAAACCTCTGTTGTGTTAATTTCGATGTTAATCTCCCTGAAGAAGTTCGGACCAGATTGCCGAACACAGGAAACGTTTGAATTACTCATTTCAATTTCGCTAAGATTTTACAAATATAATTTTTACAAGTAATACCAAGGTTAGACTCAAAGTATTAGATAAGTAGGGCAGGTCAATCGATAGGGTTGTAAAACTACATCGATTGTGAGATCACTAGGACATGTGTTACACATGTGAAGCCATCACCTTCCACCTTGAATAATAATAATTTCTATATTGAAAAGTCAGTTTCATTTGATTGGCTGGAAGATTTCATCATGAGCTGACATCACTTTAAGAACCATTGGAAAACCAGCAATGAGTACTGTTAGACAACTGTTTCGTCTTAGTTTGGGACTCTTCAGCAGTACGCACCTAGCTCACTGGGCTCCGAACCTAGGACCTTCTGGTTACAAGGTGTTGAGCTTGCTCATAGATCATTAATTAAGCCACTGGTACCCGCCAATCCAATGGCCAGTGCATGAATTCTAACTTCTCCCAATTCACGATACAGAGCACGACCACTTCGTAATGTCTTCTTCGATGAGTTACTGCATCACCTTCAACCTTTAATTTCTTTTAAACATCAGAAGTAAAGGAAAAAACAGAACAAAAGAAATAAAATGCAATCAATGTGGTTGTTGTTTTCACTCATATACACGCCTAAAAAACTTGTATTGATTTTATTTTGCTTTCTTATTTGTAAATGAACAATGAGTCAAATTGTGAACGGGAACAGTTAAAACAACAACAACAACAATTTTCACCTGTATATTGTTATTCAGTGTTCAATCTATGTACGTTTATGCGCATATATTGAATTTTGAATACTTTCTTTCTATATAATACATATCTGCTGCTCATAGAAAGTATTTAACAGTTGTGTCCTAAATACCAAGCTTAAATCAATTCCATAAATTACGTCTATCTATCAGTGCACGGTTACATGGTTCTCTGTTTGTGTGTCAGTGTGCGTTGTTTCCGTTCCGTTCCACTTTGTGTTTTTGATTACCTTAATCTAATCTTCACACTTTATTATTATTATTGTATGTACAATAAGAAGTTGTGTTAGTTTATAGTTAATTGTGATTGGCTTATCGATCGGTCGATTGATTGACTGTTTTATTATTGATCGATTTATCGTGTGATTCATGAATTCATTCACCTCCTTCTTTTATATATTTGTAGGTGCTTGTTTGTATGTATGTGTATATGTAATTATAATAACAATAGTTGAAAGATTAATTTCAATTGGTGTGTGTTTGTGTGTGTATATGAGGGTAATTTCTTTGTGAATGAAATAGCGTGAAAAAGTTTCTTTTATGTGTAAATTCTACCCACCATAAAAAATTATACCACAGTAGGCAAGCTAGGCAAGCTTTCATTTCTCTTAAGTGTCTGTGTGTGTGTGTGTGGAGGAGATCAACAGTACACTCAGCATGCAAATGAAAATAAGATACGGATTTTCATCTCCGATGTGAAGTCAGTGCTACTGATTGTACGTATCAGAGACTTGGTACCGCGCCGCATCGTGCTGTGCCACGAAGGGTACTTCGAACAAACTCCAGACTTTCATCAACAGCTGCCACCTTTGCTCAATACTACTCAAGATCAGATGGCCGGCCAGAAAAGATCAGCAGTAGTGAGGGATCTCTGGGAGCGAACCAACCCAGCAGGACCCAATTGTGCAACAAATAAGTAGGAATAAATGGAGGTGGATTGGCCCTTCTCTTGGGAAACAAACCACTGGTTTTCCAATAGTTCTCTAACCAATATCAGCTCATGATGAAATCCTGTAACCAGTCAGTCAAATTCCTACAAACCAATACTTGAATGTTCTAGCTATGTCAGTTGTGATATAGCTTCACAGTCTATTTACCGACTGACTTCTCCTTCTTACCTTACACGTTACGCCCAACTACAATTATTCCACTCAATCACAAGGGATGGAACGTAGACACCTATCGTCAAAAACATCTCTAGCCTCTTCAAGTTTTCCACTTTTAACTGCTACATCTTACAAGGACTTAACGAGCTACTGAGCAGTACATACATCCTTTGATGGTTAGCTGTACATCACATCTACACCAGAGATGATGTTAACGTCGATTGACAAGCCTTTTGTATCCGTGCTGAGATTAGGGCTGATACAACGTTTTCCAAATAAGAGAGGCAGTCAACAGTCTGTCTCTCTGGGTACAACATAGAACTTGGCACCGAAGTGCAGCAGTTCGAGTTGCCACGTTCCAAATAGCACACAAAGGTAGACAAGAAGATGAGTGAAGAGAATCAATAGAGTTTTGAAAAGTATAAGAGTGAAACAGAATGAGTAATGGTAGAAAGGAATATGAAAGATTACAGAGACTGAATACATCTGCGTAAGCCATTGACAACGATTTTGAGCCATGTCACCTAGTGTCTCCAGCCTTCATTGATTCTTAGAGTCCCGAGGGCGGGCCCCAACCCGGAAGTCTGCATCTCCCTACCTGACTCAGTTTAACTGCCAGGGATTTCATGGATCGATGAGGCCATGTTTTTGTTTGGCATGGCACCACTTACTCTTTTCCAACCTGCACCTGTATCAGCTAGCTAGTAATGCCCGTCGGGTGGGGGAGGTGATGGTTAGGCATGCGCAGCACGTGACCTAGCCATCTCAATCTATGTAACTTTATAGCCTCTTCGATTGATTTTCCCTCTTCGCCCAACACTCTTCGCCAAACGTTAACACTGCTTACCTTATTATGCCACCTAACGTGAGAAAGAGATCGTAGACATCTATGACCAAAAACAGTCAACATTTTCATGTCTTCAACTAGTATTGGCCAGAGATGGTGTAAGTTAGCAAAAGCAGCCCAAGCTTTTTGGATCCGTGCTGAGATTTCGTCGTCAACAGTGTGTAACACTTCGCTGTCTATCTTAAGGTTAGGAGCCTGTGTAGTACTGTGTAGTTGGCACAACGGTTGGATGCTAGCCGACTACGCCTCATGTGGTCCGAGGCTCGACCCTCAGTCACAGACGCCCTGCTTTACCTCACTAGGCTGGGCATGGGGCAGCAACCCTATCCCGTAAAAATAATAAAACACCACTGCTACCGAAACTTCAAGCCTCTAGGTTGAAACCCCACTATGTTCCACTGGGAACGTAAAGGAATTTTTAAAAAAAGTAGTGCAGTCCTGCAACATCATCATTTGACATTTGACAGGAGGTTGTTAATCCTATCTGGCTAGCGGAATTTTTGATTGTGTAGGTATGCAATGCCTAAATCCTTGGCTTTACTTGTCTACTAGCTAGCTGGAAAACTCTACAGTCGAATACACATTTCATTATTCCCCTTTTTGAAGTTGACCTTTACATGACAATTTGCTTAAGAAAAAAATCGAAATATTATCTTCCATAGAAACGCGCGCGTGCACACACACACATACAAACATTCAAGCTTCTATGAGGAAAATTTGGTTGTTATGGTACTACTATTATTGGAAATCAATTATTATATCTGTTTATCTTTCTATCTATAAATTCCCTTTTTTTTCGTGAAATGCATTTTACCTTTTTTTTCCCTATTAATATGGAAGTAGTAATCGATTGCTTTTTTATCGTTTTAGTTTCTCCTTCCTGCCTTCCTTTTCATGTTCTTTTTTTACGCTTTAGAAATTCCAAGGTGTTGCCACATGCCAAATGGATGATACTTTGGACATAATTGTGAATAAAATTGTCGATGCTGGGGTAAGTTGGTCAGTCTTTATCACCTTTTTTTGAACGATATAGCGGTACTGGCACACCAGCTAATGTCATCCGTAGTGATTGTTTGTCCTCATACCGGCGCTACTTGCTGTATCGCACTGGTTGTGACTCCTCACTAGAACTCAGGTAACTGCTACCCCTACCTGAATAGGGTCACTCACTAGTGAGCATCAAGTTGATATTCCATTGTGTTGGTTTCCAGGGATTTCGTTATGAACTTACAAGCTTTGTTCAATGATGATCCGTAATGTGGCGATCTGATCAATACATGACTTGTTTCTCCTGAATCCAGCCTGTTCCGGTCGAAGTTTTTCATCCAGGTCGGCGTATTTGATTCTCTCCAGGATGATGCGGCTTAGTATTTTGCTTGGGATGGACAGGAGCATAATTCCGCGCCAGTTCTTGCATTGACTTAAATCCCCTTTCTTTGGTAGTTTGGAAGAAAGGATACTTATTCAATTACAGGCAGAACTGACGAGGATATCAAAGCAAGAGTCGGAAAAGCAAGACATGCATTCACTACTCTCAAGTCTGTGTGGAGGTTAACAGCACTCACTATCAAAAATAAGATCCCGATTTTCAACTCCAATGTGAAGTCAGTCAGTGCTACTATACGGATCAGAGATGTGCACTGCGCATCATAAAGAGCATGTCAAACAAACTACAGACCTTCATTAACAGTTGTCTTCGCTCAATACTCAAGATCAGATGGCCGGCCAGAAAAGATCAGCAACAGAGATCTCTGGCAATGAGCGAACCAACCAGGAACGAATTGTGAAACAAATAGGCAGGAAGAAGTGGAGATGGATTGGCTGGCCATACTCTGAGGAAACCATCAAGTGAGTGACATCACTAGACAAGCCATTGCTCGAGTGGAACCCGAAAGGGAAGCGGCGAGTTGGTCGTCAGTGCAAGGGTGACTTGGAGGAGGCCATGTGAAGAGGAGATGAAAACGTGTGGGCAGACTTGGAGCCAGGTGAAGACTCTAGCAGAGAACAGAACGCAGTGGAGACGCACGGCTGAAGCCCTATGTTCCTCTAGGAATTAAAGGAAACAATAATAATAATAATTGGAAATATGCCGGGGAGTACTGCCAGACAACTATTTCGTCCTAGTCTGGGACTCTTCGTCAGTACGCACCCACCGCCAGGGTTCGGACCCAGGACCTTCTGTTATAAGGCAAGCTAGGCCGTAGACCATTAAGCCACTGGGACCCGATCCAATAGCCAGTCTGTGGATTCCAACTTCTGCCAACTCAAGATATAGCACGACTGGCACTAGCCAACGTCATCCCTGGGCGAGTATTTTTTCTCACACCCGACCTGCTGCACCCTGTATCATATCATATTTATCATATTTCGTTTGTTTGTCAAAAACGTTCACTGAATAGAATGACTAGTGTTGTGGTGAGTGCTACTTATAATCCGATATAAGTAGTATATCAGGAACGAAGTAACAACATGTTTGGCACACCGAAAGAGCAATCAAAGAAGAGAACCATAAGAAGAATGTTGCCATATGATGCAGAATCCAAGAAGCTATCGAATGAGATGATATTCGACCAATTCGTCAAGGATGTGGTGAAGATGTGCAAATGGCCGATTTAGAATATGGTATTCCAAATTTAGCTATGTACCATACGTTTCACCAAATAAACTATCCTTTCAGTCTCCTCAGCCTTGTCTTCTTCACATTTGGTGTCGCTGCCTCTGTCGGAGATGAAGGTGCCGTGGCCGCAGGTGTTCGAGGATGGAGATGTGCGGACGTTCCTCAGGGACTTCGAAGCTGTCGCGGAGCTGGTTGGAGTGCAGGAGCAGAAAGCGAAGCTGGTGGTCTTGGGAACGCTGCTGAGGGGCCGCGCGAAGGCTGCGTACGACAACGCTCGGGAGCTGGAAGGTGACGCAGCTTGGGACAAGGTCGTCGAGAGGCTCGTGTGCGAGTTCGACAGCCCTGCGGACAGACAAGAGGCGCTGCAGAAGTTTCGGACGCTGAGACTTGGCCAGGATGGGGATCCGTTGGTTCTCGCAGTAACGCTGACGAATCACCTGCGACGCGCGTTACCCACCCTAGACGAAGATTCACGGGAGCAGTTGCTGGCATCTCAGTTCCTCGAATGCGTCCCGACAGATGTCGCTCATCAGTTGCAGCTAGTTAACGCAGCTCAGCCAATGGATGTCTATGAAATGGCCAAGGTGACAAGGCAGATAATGACCTCGCATGTTGCTCCAGTGATGTCGGAGGGCCAAGACTCCAAGAAGATTGAAGACCAGATTGAAGAGTTGAAACAACAGGTGGCAGCTATGCAGAAAAAAACAAACAACAGGTGCTTTGCTTGCGGAGGAACCGGTCACTGGCAGAGAAACTGCCCGAAAAGAAGGCAGAAAAACCTTAAACGATACAGTCTTCCTTCTTTTTCTCGCTCGCGTTTAGAGGTGGTCGGGTTGGTCGAAAGAGGTTCAGTGTACGGGAGATTACGAGTGAACGAAAAAGAAATAGTTTGTTTGATCGACACAGGGGCGGCAGTTTCGTTGATAGGTAGAGAACAGTGTAAGGAAATAAGGCCGTGCACATTAGCAGTTCAGACGGTAGGAGGACATCCGTTGCACATTCTTGGCGTTTCAGACTGCGTTGTAGAGATTGGAGCAGGAAAAATACGATATCCGTTTATTGTAACTTCTGATATAAGACGAACGATTTTGGGAGCAGACTTTCTCAGAGAAGTAGGAGCTTTAATCGATATGAAGAATAGAAAAGTGGTCACAAAACACGGGCAATTCGCGATACATGAGAATAGTGAAGTCGCTGAGGTGGAAACCACAACCATTGGTCAGCAAGAAGCACCACGTCTAACCACGTTGATGAGTAAATATGCCGGTTTATTCACTAGTGATGGAGACCCATACGGTTATTGTGATAAGGTAAAGCATAACATCCCACTGAAGGATACGGGGAAGACAGTCTTTTCATCGCGACGAGTTCCGGTCCACCTTGAAGAAGAAGTTAACCGACAAGTCAGAGAAATGTTAAACGACGGAATAATCGAAGAAGCCGACAGTCCGTACAGTTCGCCAATCCTTTTGGTGAAGAAAGCTAACGGGAAATATAGATTTTGTGTCGACTTCAGACAGCTGAATAGCCTCACCGAAGTAAAACAGTGTGTAATGCCTACCGTAACAGAAACTCTTGATCGCCTTCATAAAGCCAAGTTATTCACCGTGTTCGACCTACGATCGGGTTACTGGCAAATCCCAATAGCAGAAAGTGATCGAAGTAAAACAGCTTTCACAGTCGGGCAGAAACAATACCAGTTTAAACGAATGCCATTTGGATTGGTAGGTGCCCCATTTACATTCAGAAGATTAATGACCTTATTACTGAAGGATCTGAAGAACGTAGAAGTATATGGAGACGACTTGGTGGTATGTAGTGAGACAGAAAGCGACCATATAGACCACATCGAAGCTATCTTAAAGAGAATTGATGACTTTGGACTGCGTATTAATAAGCACAAGTCCCAAATAGCTAAAAACACGGTTGTCCTCCTGGGTTACAAAGTGGGAAATGGCGAAATACGGCCATTGCCGGAGAAAATCCTGACAGTCAAAACCAGCGAAGTGCCAAATTCAAAGCGAAAGCTGAGACAGTTTTTGGGAAGAGCGGCATTCTACAGCCGATTTGTCAAAAATTTCAATGAGATAGCTAAACCGCTATATACGTTGCTGAGTGACGCGAAATTCATGTGGACGGCAGAGGCACAGCAAACGTTTGAGCGAATTAAAGAGCTGTTAGATGGTCAACAGATGACGTTGAAACTGCCAGCGCCGGGGAAGCAGTTCACAGTTTCGACAGACGCCAGTGATTATGGTATAGGTGCTGTTTTAAGACAAACAGATGGGGTTGTTGAATACGCTAGCCGTGTGTTGACACTTGCAGAACAGAAGTATTCTACGGTGGAAAAGGAGTGTTTAGCTATCGTATGGGCACTAGAAAAATGGAGACCATATCTGATCGGCCGCCGATTCCACATTGAGACCGACCACAAACCTCTTCAGTGGTTGAAAACAGCACGGGATCCACGAGGGAAGTTATCACGATGGATGTTACGCCTACAAGAGTATGACTTCACGATTGGACATATTCCAGGAAAAGAAAATGTAATAGCTGACTATTTGTCGAGATCAGATAATGAGATTGAACTACCAGAAGTAGCGTATGCAGTAAACGCTTTGGAGCAAGATCCCTTACAACTTGTTCGCCACCAGAAGTCGGATCCTACTCTTAAGACAGTCATTCAGATGATACGTGAAGGGAAAGAAATTGAAATGGCAGCAGAGAATAAAGAGTTAAAGATGCTACTGCAGCAAAAACATAGACTCAAACTAAACGCTGCCGGCGTCCTAACTTGGAAAGACAGTGATGGTAGCTGGGTTACAGTGATACCAAAAAGCCTTCGTCGTGGGGTGATTCAAGAATGCCACCAACTAGCCCATACAGGAGTTACACGAACATACGACCTAGTGAGCCAAAGTGCATACTGGCCAAACATGAGAGGCGATATTGCAAACTACGTACTCGCTTGCCCACAGTGTCAATTGATGAAGGGTGATCGGTGCAGTCGACCGCAGCTACAAACGATACCCGTAACGGCGGTTGGTGACTTATGGTCCGTGGACATAATGGGTCCTTTCCCTCAGACAGCAAGTGGAAATCAATACATTTTAGTGATGACGGAACACGCCACGCGGTGGGTAAATGCTGTAGCGATTCCAGATCAGCGCGCCAAGACCGTAACCGAGGCCGTCATTCGGCATATTGTGGCGGATCATGGTGTACCGAAAATGATATTGACAGATCAAGGCCCCTGTTTTGAAAGTGAGGAGTTCAAGACTCGTCTGGAGGCACTGGGTATTAAGAGGATTAGAACGACTCCGTATCATCCGCAGACAAACGGCTTAACCGAAAGGAACAATCGTACACTCAAGGAGTGGCTAGCTGCGAAAAGAGGCAACTGGGAAACTGACTTACCGTTGGTATTACTAGCACATCGTGCCACAGTACAAGGGACAACAAAAAAAGTCGCCTTTCCAGCTGATGTATGGGAGGAAACCACGCTTACCGGTGCACCATAAGACTTGGCCAACACAACAAAAATGGAACAGTAAGAGATGGACAAATGAGCGGAAACAAGCTATTCAGAATATACAAGAGAAGCGCAAGAAAGACATCGAAAATTATGGCAAGAAACAAATCAAAGCTTGGAAGCCGTTTGAAGTAGGTGACCAGGTGAAATGTAGAGAACGAAAGTATACTACCGGAAGTGGACCAGGATCAGGAAAGCTTCTGCCGAAGTGGGAGGGACCATATGTGGTCACATCGAGACGCGGTCCAGTGTACACAATAAAGAGAGGTGATAAAGAGAAAAGAGTAAACGCCAGTCTGCTACAAAGATGGAGAGAAGAATGTCAAAATGAGGTACCAGAAGAGCAGCAGGAAGAAACGTCTGTGCGGCGATCAAGGCGGTTACAGGAGAGACTTTATAATGAGGGGGCGAGTGTGGTGAGTGCTACTTATAATCCGATATAAGTAGTATATCAGGAACGAAGTAACAACATGTTTGGCACACCGAAAGAGCAATCAAAGAAGAGAACCATAAGAAGAATGTTGCCATATGATGCAGAATCCAAGAAGCTATCGAATGAGATGATATTCGATCAATTCGTCAAGGATGTGGTGAAGATGTGCAAATGGCCGATTTAGAATATGGTATTCCAAATTTAGCTATGTACCATACGTTTCACCAAATAAACTATCCTTTCAGTCTCCTCAGTCTTGTCTTCTTCACAGTGTGACATTGAATCGTCTGTCGAGAGCTGAGATAGCAACCCAACTGAACACTACTATCCTGACGTGATAGTTGGTCTATAGTGACTGGAACTGTGTATGGACTACAGGTCCCACCGGGCCAGAAAGATTGCTCGGATAGTGGTTAGACTGAAAATAGTCACCACGGTAACATGAAGTCACTTACTGTTTGTTAGGTTTCTAAAGGTGAAGTCATACTGCTGATACAAAAATGGGTGTAACAACAGTAATGTGTTTCCCTTAAACGACCAGTAAGTCGGCTATACTGCCCTCCTCACCTTGGGGAGGGAAGTTGTTTATATAACGACTTATTTTGTAGCTGTCTGCAGTCGGTGGTACGGTGTTCATATGGACATAACTCCAGAAACCACTTCAAACAGGCCGTGTGTGTGTCTGTGTACGTGACCAACTTCCTTCAGTTATCCCCTGGGATCTGTCGTCAAAAAAGAAATCGAATTCCACAGTATGGGCAGCCTGGAAGTAACTAACAGCCCCCCACACACACACTTGTATAAGCAAACACCTTCTGAGAAATTGTTAGCGATATCCAATGTTCTACCGAAATAAAAGACCTGGCACAGTGGAGGATCGATAGACTCCGGTCTTCGTCTTGAAGCATTGACATATCGTCATGTGTTCAAAGTCTTTGCCAGGACTGGTGGATATCGATGTTTACCTAGGGGAGTGCAAAAACCCCGATTCCAAACGTGTGCATGATGTACATGAGGTTGAGAATCCGATTGGATCGGATGGCATATGATGAACCTGTTTTTTTGTTGATTTTTTTATTGATTTCTTTTATTGATTTACATTCAAATTCGTATGCTTTTTCTTTCCCTTTCTCTTTAGGTGCATCGTCTTGTAGTAGTTGCTGAAAATAAAGTATTAGGCATTGTATCATTATCTGATATTCTACGATTTTTAATTGCTGAACCAACAGTAGTCAACAAGGCGGTGAAATCACCTTTGACACCGTGAATACAAAGGGAACACTCACTCTTACACACAGACACATGCACACGCTCACGTACATGTTTTGTATACTGTATTCTGTAGTGTAGAGCTCAACGAATAACGATGATGACAATAATAATAATTATAACACGATATTTTCTCTCTCGCGCGCTCAGGGTGTACTCACCTCCTTCCGCTTCCCACCCCACTATTTCCTCTGCTCATGAATGCCTCACCCCATCCCCCAGTTTACACAATGATTGTCACAATCAGCATTACCACCCGTCTTCTTATAACATATACATATATGTGTAATGGAAGTAGGTGTTTATGTTTTTTTTAAAATATCGACCCTTCTATTACTACACAATTGTCATCATCACCATTTGACCTTCACCTCCACGCCCATGTTTTTTTAAAACTTTGGAATTCCTTTTTTTCTGTACACAGTTTATATTTATTTATTCATATTATTATTACTTGACGCCCCTTTTTTATTGTTCCAGCTGACTTACTACTTTACATGCTTTTTTTATCGAATCTTCTATCGGTTACCTAGGCAACTTCAGTTGACACAGAGATTCGCCTTTTTTAAAAATTATATCTTTAATACTTCTTTGTAAATTACACTTTATTCTCCCAATAATAATAATAATCAGGGATAATAATTTATTGGTAATCGATAAACTGTTTATTATTATTCTTGTTGTCTTATTTTCAAATGTCACGGAAGATATTTTTGGGGGGGTTGCACAAAATGGTGTACAACATTCTCAGCTTGATTTGGGGTTAAACGCAACCAACTAACAACGATCTGATGGTTTTTCTAAAACTACTCATAAACTGACTAATAAGTAGTGTGTGTGTGATACAACGCAGAATTAGTGTTGTTGTTGTCGTCTTGTTACCATGGCACCTCTTGTGCAACGGGTCATATTAATTACTTAATTGATTTTTTTAGATTTTCCCGTCACTTGATTGGACCGAAGTGCTCGGTCTCAGGTTGACAAACCTGTCGCCTTCTTGTGCAGATGTTTCAATGACCTCTAGGCATGTAATTACACCAAGCACTTCGGTCGAATCAATCGACGCGGGAAAATCCAAAATTCAATTAAAGTTATCGAAAAAAGAAGAATATGCTTTCCGTTCAATCTTTCGGTTTTCTGTGTTGTTGTTTTTTATCGATCTAAATTTGGGCGTCATCTGAAGTATGAGTCATTATGAAATTAAGTCTTATGGATTTTTCTACTAGGGTGTAACCACTAACATAAGAGTAGAAGTTGGCGTATTGTGGTAGAATAATAATTTTCTTATCGACGAGAAAATCTAAAAAATTCACAATTAAATAATTAATATGACCCGTTGCACACGAGGTGGCTCTCGTGACCCAAGTGGTCTAGTGGATAACGCTTTGCAGTTTGAAACTGTGGGCAATGGGTTCGAGCCTCGGTGGTGGAGGCATCATCACTCACTACTGGGAAATGCAGGTACATCCAGCTGGCTGACGAGTCCTAAATAGGACGAAATGCACGTTCTGGATTCCACTGCTAGTCCTCATCCACCAATTAAACTTCAATAACTTTCTCTACAATGATATATATATATGACATTTAAAGCGTTACTATTATTTTATATATGTCTAAATCAAGTTCACTTTTAACAGCGAAAAAGTTTGCGCATTGGGTGTTTAATACTACTACCACTAATAATAATAGTAATAATCTACTTTATTCCAATAACAGCACTACTTATAATACAGAATGGAGTTCTCAGCATTTGTCACAATATCTCCCATCTAATTTACTCAAAATATAAACAAAATTAAAAATATAAATAACATTAACCAGAGGAATTTGTCCACATTTACGATATAAAGTCAAAAATATTCGAAGTACGAATTGAGAATATTAAATATTATAATAATAATGGGGAGTTTGTTTGAAACAGTATTGTCGATTCAGTTTGGAAATTTTAGCATGTTATAGAGGCATTGAGTCTAATGTTCTGTTGATATAGTATGGTGAGGGGAAAGGTAAAATTAACAGTTATAACACAGCTTAAATGATGATTCACACTTATGAAAAAAATAAATAAAAATAAAAAATTGGGAGGATTCTTAATATAAGGAGTACAATAACAATAAAGGTTGATACCTTAAGGGTGAAGGAAATGGTCTATTTAGTGGTGCTAAGAAGGTTAGTTAGTTCATGCCTAACACTATTCTCATCACATAAAGTACGTGCCACCAAATATGGTATAGTGGAATTTTTATACTTAGACGTACGTGCATAAATAAAGTCTTCTGAAAAGACTTCTTGTTTTATCTGAACATATATATATATATATAGGTAGTTACATGGGTTTCTAGTGGGAAGTCGTAACCAGTAGGGTGCAGCAGGTCACCCGTGAGGACAAATACACGCCGAGAACATTGGCTAGTGCCAGTCGCGCTACTTCGTGAATTGGCACAAATTAGAATTCATGCACTGGTCATTGGATAGGGTCCCAGTGTCTTAATGGTCTATGAGATAGCTCGCCACCTTGTAACCAGAAGGTCCTGGGTTCGAACCCCAGTGAGGTGGATGTGTACTGATGAAGAGTCCCAAACTAGGCTGGTGAAATAGCTCTCCACTAAAGATTTTCCGATGACCCTGTAACTAATATCAGCTCGTGATGAAATCCTGTAACCAATCAAATCAAGTCACTAGAAGCACACTGTAGCACTCCAGAGGTGAGAAGAATGGAAGAAAAATACCTACTAACAACTGTCTTCAAAAAGAATGGATATCCTCACAGTTTCATCGAAAAGTGTTTAAAATTGAGTTACAACGCCAACAACAAGAAACCATCATCAAAGACTACAAGAAAATTCATTCCACCATATATAAGCGAAAATATCTCTGAAATAACAGCTAGAATACTGAAACCGTTTGATATAGATATAGCACACTAGCCAGTCAAATCACTTCATTCTATATTGTGCAAACTGAAAAATCCAACAGAAAAAAGAGATAAAATTAGACCATTTACAAAATGAATTGCATGAACTGTAGCCGACATTACATCGGTCAAAATTGGGCGTCTCCGTCGAATCAGAATCCAGGAACTCAAATCAGCTGTGAAAAGACATGATATATACTCTTTCATATCAATGCATATAGATAATTATGAACATCAGTTTGATTGGGATAATGTCGGGATCTTAGACAGAGGAAACACCAAAAGTGCCAAAGAATTCCTAGAAGCCTGGTACTCAAGCTAATTAGCGACTAGATATAATGGAGAAGATTTGTAGCTCAGGTGGATGATTTTGGTGTGGTTGTGTTCTCTGAGCTGGATGGTTTGGTTGCGAAGCTTTCATTGCTCTACTGAGCAACATCTTCAGCGCATACTTCGATGTGAAGTGAGCTTTTAGAATTCTCTATGAGTTTATTAGTCATCTCTTCTAGTAACCTTGAACGTGATTGGTTGTTTTCGTGTGACATTTCATCCCCTAGTTTCCTTGTCTCGGTGCTGGCTGCTTCTTTGGTCTGAATGTCGTTAGTCATTCCTTCTGCTAACCTTGAACGTGATTGGTTGTTTTTGTGTGACTTCTCACTTTCTAGTTCACTTGTTTTGGTGTTGACTGTTTCCTTGACCTGAAGTTTGACTTTGTTTTTGTGTGAATTTCTTCGTATGGATTGGTATATTTTGTCAATCTCTATGTGTCTATTGATTGCTGATTCATTTGAATACCAGGCCTCTAGGAATTCTCTGGCATTTTTGCAGTTCCCTTTGTCTAAGATTTGAACATTGTCCCAGTCGAATTGGTGCCCGTGGTTGTCTGCATGTAGTGATATGAGGGAGTGTATGTCGTGTCTTTTGACAGCTAGTTTGTGTTCGTGAATGCGAAGACGAAGAGGGCGTCCACTTTGACCAATGTAATGTTTGTCACAGTCGTTGCAACTTATCTTGTAGATGACGTTAGTTTTGTCTTCTTTTGCCGTTGAGTCCTTTGGTTTACATAGAACTGAGTGAAGTGACTTTGTTGGTTTATGAGCGACATCGATTCCAAAAGGTTTGAATAGTCTTGCAGTGATTTCGGAGATATCTTTTATATATGGTAGGACGACTTTCTTTGTGTTTTCGCTGGTGGCCTTTGATTTGGTTGGTTGAGCTGGGGGTAGATGTCTTTTGATGAAGTTTCGTGGGTATCCATTTCTTTGGAGGACGTCCATAAGATGATTTTCTTCAATTTTCCTCAAGGCGGGAGTGCTACAATGAGTCCTGGCTCTCTTGAACAATGTACGTATGCAGCTAATTTTGTGTGATGTTGGGTTGTTACTGTTGTAATTGAGTATTTGATCCGTGTGCGTTGGTTTTCTGTATACTTGGGTTTCTAATTTTCCTGTAGTTGTTCGTTTGATTAAGACGTCTAAAAATGGGATTTTGTTTTCATATTCTTCTTCTCTTGTGAATTTGATGTCGTTGAAGGTGTTGTTTATTATGTTGTGGGTGTTGTCTAAGTTTTCTTTTTTGATTATCACGAATGTATCATCTATGTAGCGTATCCAAATTTTCGGTTTGATCTTTGGCAGAATTATGTTTTCCAGTCTTTGCATGACGGCTTCCGCAATCAATCCTGATATGGGTGATCCCATAGGTGTCCCTTGAATTTGTTCATACATTTGGCCGTTGAATTGGAAATAAGTTGTGAGACACAAGTTTATGCATTCCATCCAACTTGAATGCTGCATTTTTGATTGTTGTATGTGTTCATCGTTGTTGAGTAGTTGTTCCATGGTTTCTTTTGCTAGTTTTAGTCCAATCGAAGTATATAATGCCGTGACGTCGAAGGATACCATTATTTCTTGGTTGTCTATTTCAATGCCTTTGATTTTCTCTAAAAATTGGGTCGCAGATTGGATGGAGTGATCACATGATTTCGTCAAGTGTTTCAGTCTTCTGTATAGTTCTTTGGATAAATTGTATGTTGGGGTTCCTGGGAGTGATACGATTGGTCGTAGAGGTATATTTGGCTTGTGTATTTTTGGTCTGCCGTAGAATCGAGGTATGACGGGTCCATTGGATTTCATTCGCCATTGATCTTCTTTTGTGATCTGACCCGTTTTGGTGAGTTTGCTTAGGGTTCTTTGGATTCGGTTGTTTAGTGTTTCGATGGGGTTTGTTGTTAGTTGTTGGTATATTGTTTGATCTTTGAGTAGTTCTTCCGCTTTTGCAGTGTATTCTTCTTTGTCCATGATTACTGTAGCGACTAACAAACACGTTAATATAGACCAAATCTACCAACTAATAAAAAGTAAATCATGTGAAGAGAAAGTTTAAAATCCAAGTCAATAGAAAATGATCAATAAACATATGTAGAGATGGTTACCGGGAGATGCAATTCTGTCATTCATGGAAAACTTTAAATCAGTTCACTTTACGCGAAAACTTCCACTGTAGGGGGATGTTGTCCAGAAGGGGGATGACGAAAGCTCCGCAACTAAACCAACCAGCTCAGAGAACACTATTAATTACAAACCAATACTTGAATATTTAAAAAATTGTGTGTAATCATTATGAAACACATTATCAGTGTATTTTATCTAGATCAAGTGCAAGAATTATTGAAGCCATATTGAATTGTTAATGTATTTAAACAAACAAAATCAATAAATTAATCATATACAATATGTAATCAATAA